AGCCTCTCTGCGCCCTGCTCGGAGTCGGAACCCTGACCAGGGTCCTCCACATCCTCCAGAGCTGACTCATAGGGTCCCTGGCTGTTGGAGTCTGGTGGCAGCTCCAATGGCTCCTGCTGGGCCACAACAGTTTACTAGCACACTGTTTAAGGTATTGGATTGGGACTAAGGGAGGCCAGTTTCAGGTCCCCCCCCCAACCAAAAGAAGTTTGGAGTTTTAGAGAAGTTACTATCACTTCTTAGCCAATAATCCCACAGAGTTATTGTTGCAGATGAATTGGAAGAGTGTATTTACTGACCATTTCTGTAGAGGAAATATGGGATATAATAAATACATTATAATTAAAAATAAATAACAGATAGTGAGTAGGGGACTATGTGTAAAAGAATATGGAGCAGGAGTACTACAGCACATATCATGGGGAAAACAAGGGGGTCACTAGGAGCACAAGCTTTGCTGACAGAATTAGTTTCAATTCTATTCCCATTGTCATGAGGATTAGAATTGATTTTAAGCAAAACAAGAAATGCTCCAGAGTAAAAGTTGCATGTATATATTGGTTCTAGTGACTGTGAAAAATTACAAGTCTTCAAAAGAATACTTTTTTGTACTCTGTGCAAATGCTAAGACTAGTAGTTAATGTATTAGTCAGACCTCTCAACTTCCTTTCTATGCCAAAAATAAATCTGAAGAGACAATTAACCAAGTTGAACAGGTATATTAAAAGGGAGAGCTGAATCATAAGCAAGATTCTGATGCATACTTTTGCATCCCACTTCTTCTTCTACTTGACCACTCAGTTAAGATGGACATCATTCACTTTTTATTACTTAAATTGTTTTTTGTTTTTTTTTGTAAAACAGGATCCAATAATACCTGACTTACAAAACATGCTATCACCTTCCATGGCAACATTACATTGAGCACATAATCACAAATAAAATGCTAGGAGTCAGGGCAACCCATATAATCTCTCTCTCATGCAGAGAAAGTTCCAGTTGACATTAATCAAAGTCAGCTCCCATTGTGTAACTTTGTAACCAACAAATCCCATTGATTTAAATAAATGTACTCTAAACATGAATAAATTTGGATTTAAACTGTATCTACCTGCCCCGTGCCAGCTCAGTGTAGCGGCGGACGTGATGTGCCGATGCCTGGAGGCTGTTAGGATCTGGATGGGGGGGTGAACAAACTTGTGCTCAATCCCGATAAGACTGAATGGTTTTGGATGCTGCCCCTGAAGGGCAGCCTAGACAGTCCATCCTTAACCCTGGGGGGTGAAAATTTACACCCCTCGGAGAGGGCCTGCAATTTGGGGGTCCTCCTGAATTCGCAGCTGACACTGGAACACCATCTGTCGGCTTTGACCAGGGGGGGCCTTTGCCCAGGTTCGTCTGGTGCACCAATTGCAGCCCTATTTGGATCGGAAGGCACTTCAAACGGTCACTCATGCCCTTGTCACCTCAAGGCTGGATTATTGCAACGCGCTCTACATGGGGCTACCCTTGAAAAGGGTTTGGAAACTGCAGCTAGTCCAGAA